GTGGCTGGCGCCTTAGCCGGTTGAGCTATAGGCACCGAGCCGGTTCCAGACTTCTTGTTGAAAAAGCCATCCTTCTTCCATTCAACTGTCCAACTGCCTCCATACCTGTGTCAAAAGTCCATTAACTGTAGCAAGTCTCTCTTCTGTCCCAGAACCTGTGCCAGCAACGCAGGGCTGCCCACCTGTGCTGAACAAGCTTTGATATCAAGGCCTGCAAGTCCTCTACCCTTTCCCTTCTTTTCAGAGTTGTTTTAATTACTCTAGTTCTTTCCATGTAACGTTCAGAATCAACTTACTGATTCTAAAATAGAAAATTCCCACTCGGCTTCTTTTTGGAAGGTGGGGGTTAAAGACCCATCTTCTTCTGCTTGTGCAGTTCGCTCACCCCCAGAGCTGGTCTCTGCTGGCTGCTGGCTGGGAACCACTACGGGGAAATGCCAGGAGCAGCTCAGCCAAGAGGGTCCCACTTTCCCACATGACAGGGACCTGAGCTCAAGGTTCCCGAGTACACCACCACTACCCTGGCCGCAGCTCACCAACCATGAAGCTGCACACACGAACAGAGTGGGGACTGAAAGGGTAGATTTAAAGAATGTCAATAATCACTCCGTGCCTTGGATGGAGAATCACTATCCATCCAACACTTGGGCTGTGAATTCCTGAGTGTGCAAAAAGTGGGAACTCTAATCAGCTGGTCGGTCTGCTGGGCAGTGAGGGATCCTCAGTCCCCCAAACAAGACACTTCTGGTTATCACATTAAGAAAGTACCTTTCCCAATAAGTGACGTTGAGTCCCGAAACACCTCAGCTGAACCGTCTGGAATGGAGAATATCATAAGCTGACGGTCCCCAGTCAGACAAGGGGCACCCTGCACACGAGCAGTGGTCTCGGCCTCCAAGGCCACGGGGCTCCAGGCTCCCTCCGGTTGTTCCTTGCGCTTCCAGAATAATCAGGGCATGACGTCCAGCCCGCGGCAGGTGGCTCCCTCCCTGGCCCATCAGAGCTTTCTTTCAGGCAGAAGCCATAGAGACCAAGTATCCATTTTGCCAAAGCTCATTTCTTCATAGAGCAGCCACAGGCAGCCCCACCTAGTCTGATGCCCCATACCCTATGCTGCAGGGCGTTAAAATCCTCATAGCAAATAACTGGACAAGGACTAGAACAAATCAGGGCCCATAATGATGAGGGGCTCCTCCCAACAGCCCCCTGCACAGCCCCCTTGGCAGTCCGTACCCTTCTGGAGCCAAGGACGCGCCCAAAGGCATCCATGGAGGTGTGACGCAAAGCACGGAGAGAGGGAGATGGCAGAGTGCCCAGGGTTTCTGGGGTCACCACTGGGCTCCAGAGTGTTCTGGAAGCCACTATGGCTTCTGCTCAGCCCCTGGGAAGCCCGTGTGCCCCATGGCCTCTGCCACACCAAGACTACAGGCTGCCCTCGCAGGCCACCAGGACCTCAGGCTGGCCTCTCAGGCCACACAGGACCTCAGGCTGGCCTTGTAGGCCACCAGAACCTCAGGCTAGCCTCATAGACCGCAGAGGATTTCAGGCTGCCCTTGCAGGCCACCAGGACCTCAGGCTGGCCTCGCAGGCCACACAGGACCTCAGGCTGGCCTCGCAGGCCACCAGGACCTCAGGCTGGCCTCGCAGGCC